TACCACGCCACATCAACTGTTCGCGGTAATCGATAGCGATCAAAGGTTAAAATAATCCTTCCTGTAGGAGAGCGAGTATTTCCGTCATCATTCAGTTTGGTGTATTTATATCCTTCAGTCACTCCCTGATTGCTCATTTCGCGAACAATTTCATCTACCGGCACATTTTTCATGCAATTTAGCGGAAATAGCACATAGGTTAGCTAAAGATTTCGATTTTATGAGCTGCGCGCGGGTTCCCAGCGAGGACCAGTAAATTCCCATCGCGTAGAATCAAGATAGAGTCTACGTATGTTGTAATGCTATCTAGAGCTTCTTTTATAGCAAAAAGGCTAATTTGGGAAATTGTTACTTTAGCATCGGTTGTCTATTATTTTGTTATTTGTGAAATAACCACTCACTTGAAAACGTTTGGGAAACTACTGAGGATAATATCAAATGTGTTCAATTTTTTTTTTTTTTTTTTGTTGTATTTAAAGGAAACACGTACGGGATCCGCGATGATCAGTTTTAGCAATAAACACACAAAAAGGTCAATATATTTTAATAAATTTGATCACTTTTGAAAACGTATAAAGCAAAAAAGAAAAAAAATAAAAGAAGCAATTGCAAAATTTTTTTGCACAAAGAGAAAAGTATGACCACAGCGCTTGCACAGAGATGCCGATCTGTGACATTATTTTTATTTTTCTTTTAGCAAAAAGAATTCTGCTGAATTTGCCTGATACACTTTACAGTGGATGCATATACCGATATGCGATCATACCACACCCTTACCGTTTTAGGAAGAAAATTGTTAATGTGTTGAAAGACGTTAACAATTTTCTGTTACGAAAGAGAATTTTAAGGGTAGTTCTTAATATATTAATTTAAGTACATTCTTATGTACTTACACATAGTTCTTGATTATATTTGGCTTATAGTTTTACTTTATAAATTTTTATAATATTTGTATTTTTAGACTTAACTAGATTTGGTTTATAATTTTTCTTTTCTTACAATTTTGTATTCATAGTCTTAATTAGGTTTGGTTTATAATTTTTCATTTCTAAACGTTTATAATGCTTGACATGGCTTTTATTTGTATTGTTAATTGTTTTGTTCTTGAGTCTTAGAAAGGTAGGAAGTTATATTTGGATGGTTTAATTTAGGTTTAGTTTTGTAATATTGGTTTTGGCTTGTCTTTCATTTGTGTAGTATATATCCCTTATTTGTTCTTCCAATATTCCTCATTTCAATGTTAATTTTCTTGATTTTAATATTTCTTATATATTCTTCATGTATTTTTAAATAATCTTTCCATATTTTTCGTCATTGGGTGAGTTTAATACAACGCTGTTTTGTTATTTTACGTATGTCTCTGTTTTTGTTTTGCTATTCCTCATTTATATACTTATATACCCTTATTTACTCAAATATATTTATCTTTTCAATATTCCCCCTTCTAATAGTCTTTGATATTCTTTATGTGTTCTTCGTTTTCATTTTAATGTTCTTTTTATTCTTCACGTATTCTTTGATAGTCTTTATGTATTCCTCTTCTTTATTTTAATGTTCTTTCTATTCTTAATATGTCTTTTCTATATTCTTTGATATATACTTTATCTTTATTTTAATATTCTTCCTATTCTTTTAATATTCTTCATATTCTTTTTATATTCTTTTATTCATTTTCTTACTTTTATGCATGGGAACTAATTAGATGAACTTTTCGGAAAACACACCGCAGTCGTCTGGATATTCAATTGTCCTTTTAAACTCCTTTGAATTTAAAGTTTTTCTATTATTTAGAAGAATGTATGAGCATTAGTAAATGCTGACGGGCAGAGGGTTTGTGGTGAGTTAATTTCTGGTCTGTACACTGCATCTTGTCTAGCAGTGACTTTACCGTGATGAAACACATATTATGAGGAGATAGCGATTGGATTTTAATTGGGTGGGAATGCTATTTATTGGTGTTGTATGAGTGTGTCTAGTTTTGGTAATTTTTTTTTTTTTGGTTAGTAAGACATGTTAATTATTTTTGTTTTCTCCTTTCTATACCTTCTTATTAATATTAATATTTTTCATATATTTAATAAATTTTTCTTGTATTCTTTATCTGCATTTTAATATATTTTTTATATATCTATATATTATTTTTTTTGTATTCATCTTCCTATATTCTTTAATAATCTTGACATATTCTTTATTTGGAGTTTTGGGTGGTTTCAGAGTTTTATTTTTTTCTCTGATTGGCACGTGATCGTTGCGATGTCAAAAATTATTGTTGATATACACGTTCTTTGATTACGTCCTGGTAATAGTTTTGATGTCGTCGCCAAAAAATAGTGGGTGAACGTGTTCGAAGTCCAAGGGGAAAGAGAATGTTCCCTGTCCTGCCTCGGATGTGGGAGTGTTGTCCTCGGGAGGGACCATTGTATTTGTGAAAATTTTTGGAGGTGTGTGCCCAGAAAATTTGACTTTAATGTCGTCTGGATTTGGCAGGATCTAAACGTGTTGATCAAAAAGCAACAGGATCGGTTGCAGGTTCGCCATGTAAAATAAAAGAAGTGTGTTGCAGATCGTGATTTATTTTATTGTGAGGATTCCCTATGAACCTTCCCAGGTGAGTAGATCAGATTTGAAGTCGGAGTTTAGCCCTAACCTGCTCGGCTTTACAACGCCAAGTCTTCTATCTCTTTATAAATGCCAATAATGCTCGGCATGAGATAGTCCCTATAAAATTTATATTAGGCGGATGGAACGCCTTTTGACCATTAGCGTATCAAACGCTTAATTTGAATTGCTTTGGTACAATTACTTTATTTAAATTTTATTGTGCTATTTATACATAAATTCTTATACTAAATTATGCTTACATCGACAAAACTTAATTGTTTTAATTGGGGGCGCCTGGCATTGTATTGCATTGCGAAATGCAATACTCAGCCGGGTGAAGTGTGATATAATTTTTATTTTTCTTTTAGCAAAACAATTATGCTGAATTTGCATGATACACTTCACAGTGGATGCATATACCGATATGCGATCACACTACAATGTAATATAAATATACAAACATAACATAGTAATAAATATGTAATGGCCAGTTTGCTTCTTTTGCATTCTAAAACAAAATAAAAATAGATGAATAAATAACAAATATGTTAATATTTATGCATATGTGTATATACCTTTATGTGTGCATATATATATTAGTTTAGGGAAAAAGAAATCCATTATTTTTTCGGTAGATGGCAGCACTGACAGATTTCTCGAAAAGTATCGATCAAACAATTTCCGATACTGTACATTTACATACTGTACGTTTCGCAGTAAAAAAAATTCTTTTGCTGTTTTTTGTTTGGTGCATTCAGTTGTGAGTTACAGCGTGTTAAAAATGGAAGTGAACAAAGAGAAAATTCGGTACATTTTACAGTTTTTCTTTGACAAAGGCGAAAATGCAAGTCAGGCGGCTAAAATTGTGAATGGTGTTTATGGTTCCGATACTGTAACAGCCAATTATGTGCAATTTTGGTTTCGTAGATTCCGTTCAGGAATTTTTGATGTTAAAGATGCACCTCGCACAGGTAGGCCCGTCGTCGAAAATGTCGATAAAATCGGAGAAATGATCGAAGTTGACCGGCATGTTAGCAGTCGTCACATCGCCCAGGAGCTAAAAATCGACCATAAAACAGTTTTAAGCCATTTACACAAAGATGGATTCAAAAAGAAGCTCGATGTTTGGGTGCCACACCAATTAACAGAAAAAAACATGATGGATCGAACTTCCATCTGCGAAGCCTTGGCCAAACGGAATGAGATAGACCCATTTCTTAAACGGATGGTGACTGGAGATGAGAAATGGATCACGATAACCCTGTGCGAAAACGATCGTGGTCAAAGAGCGGTGAAGTACCTCAAACGGCCAGGAAGGTTTTGCCATGCATTTGGTGAGACTGGAAGGGGATTATTTATTATGAGTTGCTTCCATATGGCCAAACGCTAAATTCTGATCTCTACTGTCAATAACTGGACTGTTTGAAGACAGCGAATGACCAGCAAGGGCCAGAATTGGCCAACAGGAGAGGTGTCGTGTTCCACCAAGACAACGCTAGGCCACACACATCTACAGTGACTCGCCAGAAACTTCGGGAGCTTGGTTGGGAAGTTTTAATGCATCTGCCATACAGTCCGGGCTTTGCACCAAGCGATTATCATCTTTTTCTTGCATTGCAAAATTTCTTTAATGATAAAAAATTGGAATCTAGGGAGGATTGTGAAAAACGACTACTAGAGTTTTTTGCAAATAGAGACCAGGACTTCTATGAGAGAGGCATTTTGAAGTTACCTTTAAAATGGCAACAAGTCATACAACTAAACGGTGCATATTTGACCCAAATCGGACAATCCGAAGCATGTTAAATAAAGTCCTGAAGTTCATATAAAAATAATGGATTTCTTTTTCCCCAAACTAATATATCTTATTGTTGCGGGTATGTTAGATGATGTGCTACTTCCTGAAGTGCAGTTGGGCGGTATGAGTCTTTTGTCCGCTAAAATAAAATAAATATATTTTTACATATATACCTTTGGAAGATGTGTTGTAATTAAAAATTAAGTAACATTTTTGTCGAAATGCTTTCTGAAGCTTTTGTATGAGAGCAGCATAAATAAAATCCAATCGAGCAAACTTATACTGTGGATGGTATTGTTGCCACACGAACCCGCTGCCATGAAGAAATTAAGTCGCGATACTACCGTTGCCTCGACGCGCTTGCTATACTTGGTTCCACCGTATGTTGCTGCATAACTCTATAGAAAATTGTGTGCGCTTCCGTTAATCCGCTTGTGTTGGAAAGACCGGCTTTAAATATTTGCTGACGAGGTCCAATTGGTTTCTTTTGTTTTTTGCAACTTTTCGACCTCTTCTCAAATATCTTCTTCCTCCCCCGTCTTACTTGACTTACTTGAGGGGTATTTTCTTTAAATTTCAAAGAAAATTTCATCCGGTATGTATGCCCTAATGTATATAAATGTATAAAATAGTTTTTCACGGTCGGGGATATTTGCATTGTTGTGATGTTTGCATTCCATTTTCGGGAATTTCCATTGTCGAGAAAATTTGTTTTTATTATTTTTTTACTTTTTTCGAATTTTATTTAACATATTTTTTAATTTTTTTACGAATTTGTACTGTATTTCAATTTCGTAGCAACTTCTACACGCATTTGTAAAAATTTCTTTGACTCCACAGAAAACCGTGAGCTTGTTTTTTTTCTTTACAAGTTTTAAAAAAAGAGAGAGAACGGAGTTGCCTCCCATACATGGCAACGTTTTGTCATGAAGAAAAAGAACCAAGTTGTTCATGTATTGTATGCATGCAATGTTAAAAATGACTAAAATTGTAGCTCTGCTTAAAAATTATACAAAACGGATCGTAAAAATATGAAAAAAATATTATAAATATTTTCTGTATGCTCGATTTAAAAAAAGTAAACTTATTTCCCTTCTTATTACATAGCATATGTTATACAAAAACGATAAGAGCGTAAGAAATTATATTAACAAATAGTTAAAGCAGGTCGTTACGTTTATATATACAAGTCATTAATATATGGGAAATTTTGAATCAATTTTATAGTGCCAAGAATGAAGACCACCCCTAATATCACGTATGTTATGTTTGGGAAACTTATTTATCATATGTTGGGCGGCAATTTGCGAGTCATTACCACGTCGACATAATATAAAAACTGGTAAAGTTTCATCTTGAAGTTTTTCCTTGAAACGTTCAACAAAGCTGTCATCAAGTATTGTTTTGAGAGGAACATTTTCTGAGTTACGCAGCTTACAAATCTCAAATTCTGCCGACTGCCGTACATCCCATAGTAGATGCGGTTTACCTAGGTAATTTTGATATTCTTCAACACTAACACGTTGCGCTGGCATTAATAATTTTAAAACATAATCTTTATCTGAAGTCTGCATGCCACAAAATTGCTCGTAATCCAAATTATTTGGTATTAATGGTACGTTTGAACACGCGGAACAGTCCTTCCTTCGTCCTCTCAAACGCACGCACCGAAAGGAGCAATTGGCGCCATCAAATATTAATAAACGTTTCGAAAGTACTTCCCCCCCCATACCATTCAATGCAACTTTAATTGCTTCTAGAGCTTGTAAACTACCAATAACCCCTGTTACAGCTCCCAAAACACCACCATCACCACAACTAATGACAGCTTCTGGAGGTGGAGGCAGTGGAAATAAACATCTATAGCATACCCCTACTTCGCCGTAGTTGTATACTGTTAGCTGGCCATCCAGTTGTAAAGCACTTCCTGATATCAAAGGTTTTCCTATCAAATTAAATAAAATGTTCTAAATTAGAAATATTCTAAATTAAATTATCTGAAATAATCTATAATTGAAGTGAAGTTTAATCTATAGTTTGCATACACAACAAACACTGTAATAATAACTTAAAGCAAATTGATCTAACTTAAATGGTTCGAAACCGAGGCTCTTACCTAAGGCTACACATGTATCATTCAATAAATAACGTGTCGGTACGTTATCGCTGCAATCCAAGACAATGTCATATGATCGAATAATTTCGTTTGCATTTCTGCTGTTCAATAACACGCAGTGCGAATTTATTTGACATTGGGGATTTATCATTTTCAAAGCTTCACAAGCGGAAAGCACTTTGCTCATGCCCACTCTTGATTCGGTATGCAAAGTTTGTCTATGCAAATTGCTGCGATCCACTTCATCATAATCCAGCAGGCCCAAATGACCACAACCTGCAGAAGCCAAGTAAAGTGAAGCTGGACATCCAAGGCCGCCCACACCGACTACAAGAATAGAAGTTTGCTTCAATTTCAATTGTCCTTTCACGCCAAAATTAGGTAAAATTAATTGTCGACTGTAGCGTGCTATGTCGTCATTGGTCAGTTCGTTAAAAATAACAGAATCATTTACTAGTTGACGTAGACGCTCTTCTTTGTCTTTACACAAAATCTTCAGTTCAGCTATTTCCATACGCAATTTGTGTATTTCCTCCGACGACATTGCTATTAGTCAATGTTTTGTAAAAACTTTTTACTTATGCTGCCGAAATTGATATTACTGCGACTCTTTCAAACATTCCTGCTATTGTATACATGATTACGATCAAAGTATCGTATCATTCTACTTTTCTGTTCTGATTTATAAAAAAGCGATTTACATGTTAAACACAAAACTGATATTCGTTTGTGTGTGTAATTTGTTAAATATTGTTAACTCAATCTTAGTTTTTAATTGGACTGGGTCTGAAAGTAAATAGCTTTAAAAAAATATATTTTTATGTACGTTGACGAATGAGCACTTGTAAACAAATTT